CTGAACTCGCTTTGCAGGGAGGGTGGGGTAAAAATCCCAATAAATAAAATAAAAATTATATTTTAGTATTTACTTAAATTATACCCTGCCTTTCTCCCCAGTGGGAGCACAAAGCAACCTGCATCTCCTCTCCTCACAATCTTGTGAAGTTGGTTAGGCCAAAAGTGTTACATAGTGCTATGTTAGGCTTAAGCAGCAATAATAATCCAGTGACACTTTAAAGACTAACATTTATTCCGAAGTTTGAGCCCACTGGCACCTTTAAGACCAACAAAGTTTTATTCTGGGTGTAAGCTTTCACACGAAAGCTTATAGCCAAAACAAAACTTTGTTGGTCTTAAAGGTGCCACTGGACTCAAACTTTGTTCTGCTGCTTCAGACTAATAGTAGTAATAGTAATATACTTTATTGTCATTGTACATAGTACAATGAAATTAAGATGCAATCATTTTGGTGATCTACAACAATATTCATATACACTCACACAACCATTCACAACTATCTCATAACTCCCTTAAGGTTCACATAGCAACACTAATGTCACCCAAATTCCAATTTCATACAGCATTTAAAGCAGTAATAGCTCTCGAATAAAAACTATTTTTTAATCTGTTTGTCCTTGTTTTAATTGTCCTATATCTTCTGCCCGAAGGCAGCAGTTCAAACAGGGAATGTCCAGGGTGTGACAAATCCTGCAGAATGTTCTTTGCTTTTTTCAAACATCGAGAACTATACAATTCCTCCAGGAATGGGAGGGGGCAGCCAATGATCTTCTGGGCTGTGATGATAACTCTCTGGAGTGCTCTCCTATCCACAGCCGTACAACTGGCAAACCAGGCACAGACACAGTATGTTAAAATGCTCTCTATTAAGCAGCGATAGGAGGACATCAATGTTTTCCCACTCAAATTATTTTTCTTTAAAAGTCTGAGAAAAAAGAGCCTCTGCTGGGCCTTCTTCACCAGAGCCATGGTGTTAGCACTCCAGGTCAAGTTTTGCTCAATAGTCATTCCCAAAAACTTAAAAGTAGCCACCCTCTCCAGTGCTACCCACCAAAATTTATTCCAGTTTATTGACTCCAACACATTTGATGAGGTGAGCTCTGACTCAGAAGGGTTCATGCTGGAATAAATTTTGACTCCTTTTATAACCATGAACAAATCCCTAAATCCCGTTATAAAGGAAACTCCATTCTACCAAGTATTTCTTATTCTGAAGCTTGGCTGATTGGCATTTTTAGGACTGGCTTCTTTAATGTTTAATGCAAATGTTCAGTTGATGTTGCATATAGCTCTTGCGGGGCACATTCCAGCAGAATCAAGATCCCTATACAAAAGAAGCCCAGTTATCTCAGCTGTATCTGCTTTAACAAACCGCACAAAGGTCAGTAGAACAAATGTAGAGTCCAGTGGCACCTTCAAGACTGACAAAAGTTTATTCAAGGTATGAGCTTTCCTATGCGAGGCACACTTTTTCAAATCTGAAAAAGTATTTGAAAAAGTGTGCCTCACATACGAAAGCTCATACCTTGAATAAACTTTTGTTGGTCTTAAAGGTGCCACTGGACTCTACATTTGTTCTACTGCTTCAGACCAACACGGCTGACCACCGCCTGGAACTATCTCACAAACCTCAGCTGCTCCGCCCTGCGAAGGGTTATGTGTGATCCGAAGTCGTTACTGCTGCTGCTGCTTCAGACCAACACGGCTGACCACCGCAGGGAACTATCTCACAAACCTCAGCTGCTCTGCCCTGCTGCACTGCGAAGGGTTATGTGTGATCCGAGGACGTGAGACTCCCCTTCGCATTTACACACAAGAGTTTGGGGTGTTTGAAACACGCTGCCAGCCTTAGTGTGTCAATTGTTGCATCACGTCCTCTGAGCTCTGCAGGATTTGCTTAAAGAGTAAATGGTGCAAAGGCTGTAAAACTGTAATCCCTACGCAGTCACCTTGGAGCTCAGCGGTGCTTTCTTCGAGAGTAAACAAGCAGAGGCGACTGCAAAGCGTCCTTGTGAGGGGGACAGGCGGGGTCCCCAAAAGAAATCCAGTTTCCCTCCGACTTCCTCGGGCTGAGAATGTCTTCACCTAACTCCAGCTCTCCGTTGCGAGGTCTCCAACATGCCGAGTTGGGAACCCAGCCCAGCCTCTTTTTCCTGCTCTGCAGAGGCTCATTTCTCAATCGCACAAGGCCAGGCTTGCTCCGCGTCTCTCCCCATAGCCATTGCCCAGGTTCCGGCCGTCGTTCCAGGCGGGACCGTTAAGCAAGAGGCTGAAGCCGGCGAGGAGCCGAGAAGACGCTATGAGGTCCCGCCCGGCGTTGCTCCTCCTCAGCGCCGGCCTCTTTTTGAGCCTTGGTGAGTGCGAGGAGGAGGAGGGTGACGACAACAGACTGCGCTGCTGCTGGCCCGCCTCCTCCATGATCTTTGTCCTTCCGTTAACACTCGGGGTGCCGTTTCAGGGATGCCCCCGCCCGTTTCTACGGCGCCAAGGGGGCTCCCCGCAGCCTGTAACCCGCTGGTTATTTTACCTTCCTGTTGCCAAGCCTTCGTTCCCCCTTGAAAACAAATAAGCACCACTTAATAGTTGTTATTACAGGCTACTACTTCTCCAGAAAGCTCCTAACAGTAATATTTGGAGGATGCGTTTGCATGGAATCCTTCAGGCACTTCTTAAGAGTGGACAGGGGGGCTCGCTTCAAGTGCACTTTCGAAATGAGAACAGAGGGTACCTACTTTTTAACTGGACCACTTTAATAGGAGTTTAATTTGGATGCAGTTATCAGTAGATGTTATTTAACTGCATGCCAAGAAAAATTCTAACTGACCGTTTCCACTATATAAACCTGTTAAAGGGAGAAGACATCTTTTTTCTTTGTCCAGTTGGCCATTTTATTCAAAATAGATGGATTTTCTAAGGGTTGCCAACTCTGTTCAGAAATACCTGGACGTTTGAGGGTGGAGCCTGGGAAAGTGGGATTTAGGGAGGGGAGGGGCCTTGGTGTGGTCCACTTCCAAAACAGCTATTTTTTTCAGGGGAAGTGGACTAAATGTTTTAAATAAGTGATTTATGTAGTCTGGAGATCAGTTGTAATTCCAGCAGATCTCCAGCCTCCACCTGGAGGGTGCAGCACATAGCCGCTTTTCACATAACCGAGTGATATAAGCCAGAAAGGAAGAGGGAGTAGAAAAAATACGAAAGGTGTAAGGTCTCATCTGATGAAACCTTGAGTAAAACAGGTCCATTGAGTGCTGTACCATTATACGAAAGGTCTTGAGGCCAATTTACTTTTGATTTGTTATTCACTGGATAATTAAAGAAGATATATTTTTCTCTAACAAGGTTTCGTTATCACATCATGGTTGTTTTTCCTTATGAAGTTCAGCCTGTCCTGTGATCTCTCGTCCTTGCTCCACCTGGAGGGTGGCAGCCCTAATTTGCATCCTGGTGTTATCTCACATTTTGAGAGATGTATGTGATTCCTGCAGTCAGTGTATCATACATAGATTGGTCAGTGTGTAGCAGCTGCTTTATACCAAATTGTACATAGGAATCTGTCAAACATCCAAACTATCCTGTCACTGGTAGGCTCTGTCCGTGATCTGTCCATCTTGGCACCTGAGAGTCCCTTTATGTGGAAATATTCCAGCCATGTAGCATATAATTCGTAATATAAATGACAACAAATCTTGTATTATTTTTCTGCTCTAGATTGTCAAACATTTTTACATATCACTTACCCACAGAGGATACCAGCTAATCTAACTGAAGATGACCTAGCAGAAGATACGGTATTTGCAATTAAGAAATGTCATTCTTTGAAAACTTGTGTTATAGAAGGAACACTTTATTATTTAAAATGAAATTGGTTACATTTAAAATCCTTTTAAGTAGCTTGGGAATTGGAATCCCATTTTCAAAATTTTATGTAGGAACTAGGTTCACCTGAGCAATAGATGAAATGTTGTTTCCCAAGGTGTAGTTTATTCGTGAATTAGAACAGGAAGCATGCTTCACTCTTTCACTAGTTAAAAGGACTCAGCTTCAGTGGTACCCATCCCATAGCATAAAGTACAAAACAGTACCAAGCGCTGGAAAAAGGAGGGCATTTTCTCTGAGGATGGGAATTCCTAAAATTCCTAAAGCAATTGATATTTCCTGGATAAGGAAATAAGGTTGCCACTGAGGAGACCAGGGTGATGTGAGATAGTAGAACCTCTCCCTCAACTTTCCCTTCCTGAGATATAGGAAAGACTAGTTTTGCACACACTCCCCTTCCAACTCTGTTGCCTTCACTCTCTTGTCCACCTCCACTCCCTCACCCACTGAAGGATGCACTAAATTGCATCTAAAGTTCTCATCTCTCCCGGGTGCCCAACAGTTAATTCTTCCAAATGCTCTGATGCTACTTACACAGTTTCTGCTCAGGATGAGAACGTTTAACTAATGGCCTAGAGGCAACTACTTGGTTATTTCTAGTTAATCTATGATCATTTATTTTCTTTCTCCCATTTTTCTTCTCCACTGAAATGTCTGTCTCTGGCTTTCTTCTCTTTTCCTCATTCTATTGGAACACTTCCAAGTCCATCACTTGTTTCCTAAATTTCCCTGGCTGATTCTTTTTTGGTAGTCTTCTTCTCAGACCCCTGCCTCCTCTTTTTCAAAACTGTGTCCCTTCTTTTCTTTTACTTTTGCTTTTAGTTAATCTATGATCGGTACAGGCACTCTGTAGGGTACAGGCACTCAGTTAATGGCCAGCGAAGTTTCTGCCTGCTGCATCTCTTTGTGACATTAGGGCTGCTTAGGCAATCATTGTGAGAGGTGCTACCACTACCACCACCAATTAATTCACTTAAAATGTAGAACATGCATGTAACATGTAGAAATACGGTTTCTAAATGCTGTTTTTGTCAATTGTCTTTTTCTCTGTATGGTTTGGAATGGTCCAGAGCACAGTATCCTATAATATACCTATAGAACAGAAGATATACACAGTGCATCTGAAGCGACAGTAAGTAGCTTCTGGTTCCTAGTCTTTTGGCTGTTATTTCTACAAATATTCACAATAACTTATAATAATGGTTCAGTAGCAGAGCAAGTCTTCTGAGCGAAAACATTTATCAATATTAATAGCTTCTGACATTTACTAAGTAGCATCTGATTTCAGTTTTACTATAAGCACAGGGCTGGCTCTAGAGTATGGTGAGATTGGCCATTTATTGGAGCACTGAGACTGGTGAACAGTTTGCCACAGACTCTACAGTGCTGTTCTTCTCATTTTTCCCATAGTCCCCAAGAAGATTAGAGGCACTTGTGTGATAATTTTCAATCTGCTTACCCTGCTTCTTCCAGGTTAAGCAAGCTGACTGAGAGTGCCTCCAAAATGCTGGACCCAACATGGAGTCAGCATTTTTTCAGTTATCCATGTATGAAAAAGCTAGTTCCTAATCTTCAGTGGTATTCGCCCATCATTCTGTCACACTGTAGAGTGACCACAAAATAAAATGTAGAAAGGGATATGCAGAAAAGGGATAGTTTGACAGCAATGAATGGGAACAGATTTCATGCCCTCTTCAGAGTTAACTTGCATGCACCCTTTTAATTTCATATATATGGAGAACTTTTTGGCTGCTCTATAAAGTCCACAAAGTGGTACACAATTTTAAAAAATTAGGGGAAAAAATTAAGAATAAAACACCATCTGATTTTATTTCCGTATCAGCCATAAGCAACTGATAGAAAATAATTCAAAAGGACTATATTTTTATCTTGCAAATTACAGTGGGCAACAAGTAAGCCATCCCAAATTAGTTATGACAAAAATGTGATAATTCATGAAATGAAACAGCAATTGTAATAACAAAAGCTGTATGGAATGTAGATACTACCTGTTTTCCATGGGGCTTGTGTGGTTTCCCTGTTGCTGCGCCTACCTGAAACAGTGCAGTGGCAACGGGGCTTCAATATGGTCTGTTTCCCTGCATTTTCCCCGCCTCAGTCCCCCCTCACTACCAGCCAGGAGCTTTTTCAGGTTTTTAAGCAATTGATAATTAAAATATTGTTGCAGTGTTATAACATTATAGCAATCTGTCTACTTTATTGGGTAGTCTGAATTCCAGCTTTTATTTCTTAACTAAGGCCTTTTATGCACCGGTGGTTTCCCTTGCCTTCACAGCACCCACCCCCTCCCAATCATGGTATCTTTTCCATTCTGCATCCCCCCCCCCACTTTCACCTTGCATGTCCATCAGGGTTTTTTTTAGTTCTGCATTGATTTTCACCCCTTCAGCTCTCAGTTCACTTTCTGTTCGCTGATTCCCAGGCTTTCCTGAAAGTGATTTTGTGATGATTTCCCCCCTTGCTCCTCTTCCAAGCCAGCAGTAATTCAAAAGTGTACAGTTTCCCTTGGATTTCCCCCCTCCCTTCCCCCCCCTCAGAAGTCACTCCTCACCAACATCAAGGCCATTCTGCGCACTCTGCGCCTCCTGTCATCTTCCCCTCTTCATCAGTACTTACTTTTTCCATCAGGTAAAGGGTTTGGGTTTTTTACAAGCAGAATGAGATTAGCAAAATCAGTTTTTTACTAAATTGGGTTCTCTTGTTTAAAAATGTATTCACAGGGAAAGGCTGAGGTGGTGGTTTGTGTGTGTGTGTGCAGACGCCAATCTTGTGGGGAGAATTCTCCCTGTAGGATCGTCTGGGGCTCTGCTGGGCAGGCCAGTTTAAACCAGACAGCTCAACAGAGCCCACCAAGTCTAAATCAGCTGGCAGGAGAAGGCAGTGCACAGCTGAACTTGCAGGGAGCCATCGGCATCGCTGTGCTTGTGGGGAGCCATTCAGCTCTGTGCTGCCTTATCCCACTGCCCTGGGGAAAGGGGGGGGGATTCCCTCCCCACAAACACTCATCATAAGCCTGGACAAACCCATCCTCTGAACCTTAAAGGAGAGATCTTTAGCCTGGCTTCCGCACCTCTGCTTCTCAGATAGGGAAGAGCGAGGAAGAGAACAGGCAGGCTGCTTAGAAAGGAGGAGGAGGTAGGAGACCGAGAGGGGATAGCTGTGTGTGTAGGAAGGGGGGCTGTTTGCTGATAACTGGAAGTTACTGACAATCAAGCAGCAGCTTCACTTTTCCAAAGGCAGAGGGACTCCCAACACATGCACACCAGAGCTGCCCTCTCCCCTAGTGGAAAACGGGGCTTCTCAGCTCCTTATCAATTTCAGGACAAGTCTGGTCAGTGCGCTTTCCCCCTTTCCCTATCATTCAGTACTAAGGCTAAAAGGCACATGCAAATATTGAACTATGAGGATTTAAATGAAAGGTGCTTGCTGGACACTACTGTGCGGTTGCAGAGGGGCAATTGCTTAATTTTTTTAAAAAAGTGGACACTGCCCACCACACCAACTCAGAAATGCGTATCAATTTACGTAACCAAGGTAATTTCTATCAAGAGTTTATACAAAATAAAAAGAAACAATTTTATCAAAGAAAGTGCGCCAATCTACTTTTAACCTTAAAATCTAATAATAGAGCATTTTGGCAGGTAGTTAATGCATGCAAGTACAATAGGATAGAACTCCCTAGTACAAATATCACTCCTGAGTCCTGGGTCAACTACTATAATATGATTTTTGCTGACCCTGCAGCCTCTCTAACAGATTGGGAATATACCATGCCAGACAATGTCCCTAATTGGCCTCCAGTAGAAGCAGATGAACTGCTCAATCTAATTTCTGAATTTAAAACAGGTAAATCTCCTGGACCGGATGGAATCCCTGCCAAAGTACTTATAAAACATCCTCAGTGGTGGGTCCCTCCACTTGCCAACTTGTTCACTCAAATCAATCAACATGGAATAATGCCGCAATCCTGGCTGAATTCACTTTTCATTCCTATTTTTTTTAAAGGTGATCCTGACTGTCCAAAAAATTATTGGCCAATTAGTCTCCTTTCAGTAATTGGCAAACTTTATGCCAAATACTTAGAAAGGCGCCTAAAAGCCCGGGCCGTTACACAACAAATCATTTGTCCTGAACAAATTGGGTTCTCTAAAGGCAGTTCCAACCACTGTTTTTTGCTATCTTTTTTAGCCAACAAATATATGAAGTCTGGCACAAAAAAACTTTATACAGCTTTCATTGACCTGAAAGGCATATTTGACTCGGTCTCTAGACACCTACTCTGGAAAAAGTTAGAACTAATGAAGATAGACCCCCGCCTCCTATTTCTGATTTAAAAACTCCACTCATCCACCTTCTGTCAAGTAAAATATACAGAAAGGGGACATCTGACAGCAAAGATTCCATTACAAAAAGGAGTAAAACAAGGCTGTATACTAGCTCCCCTTCTTTTTAATTTATTTTTAAATGACTTAGCTTCATATCTGGAACTCATCAATGGCCACCCACCCAAATTGGGATCCTGTGCAACCCCTCTTCTTCTTTATGCAGATGACACCACAATCCTTTCATGTACAAAAGTCGGCCTCATAAGAGACATAGCATTTCCATAAATATTGTCAAGATAATGCACTAACCATTAAATATACTAAATCTAAAGTATTAGTATTCTCAAAAAGCTGATGCTCAAGCAAATGGAAAATCAGCAATATAGAAGTCGAATAGGTCAAAACGTTCAAATATTTAGGGGTAACATTTCAGCATAACTGAAACTGGACAACACAGAGAACCAGATCAATTTCCCAGGCGAAGCAATCTATCTCCCAACTTAAACAATTTGTCTTTATTAATGGAAACCAATACATCCCTTCAGCAATAAAAATTTACTAAACTAAAGTGCTTCCTCAAGTACTCTTTGGTTGCCCGGTATGGATAAGTGCACTTAATAATGAGTTTGAGTGCACTCAAGCAATTTTTTCCCACCAACTCTTAGGTGTCCCTAGATGTGTGCCACACTCGGCACTATGTCTAGAATTGCATCAACATCTCATTCAATCAAAAGGCTGGCTATTAACCTTTAAATACTGGCTCAAAATTCATTTCCGAGCCTCTCCAAACTCTCTAATCTCACGCTTAAAAAACGATGTACACAGTCCCTCCTGGTTTCTAAAAATAGAGGAAAAAATTAATCAAATAGGCTTTTCGACTAATTATTTTCTCCAAATGGACAAAACCTTGATTTTTCGATCTATCAGACAAAGACTGTTTGACTTAGAATTGCATACAACCACACATTTATTCACAAGCTCATCTTAACCTTTCAATCCAACATGGCCAAATGGCCCATTATTTACACAATCTCAGCCTTCCCTCCCATCGTAGAGCCTTTAGCTGAACGTCTTTCCCTCAAACATGTTGTGGGGTTGATTTGACAACATCCCCCCTCAAGAAATGCTCTGCAAATGTTCCAATATGGTCCCAGATTCAATTTCTCATATTATTCTGGACTGCCAACTGCACACATCCTCAGTCCTCACGTATGAAATTTTTACCCCTTTGGCCATGCTTATTTTCTAATAAATCTAGAACTGTTCAACATTTCCTTAATGATGCTAATACTGAGACCACAAATATGGTTGCGAAATTCTTAGCAGAATCAGTTGCACTTAGACACAGATATTTTACATAATATATACACTTTTATTGTCTAAATTATTTGCTGGAACTAAACGTGTCTTTTCTATATTATTATGCTATTAAAGGTGTCTGAATCTGAATTTGATGTTTCACTCCGATATAGAAAAGTGTGGGGCCGTTTTGTAGCTTCAGAATAAATACACCAGATGGTGTAAGACTGGTACAGATGACAGGCACAGAAATCCAAAGTCAAGTTTAAAGGTTTGACCGTTCAGATACTCTGCAGTAAGTTGTGATTGCAGAAAGGCCAGAAATCTCTAGCCCTTTCCTTATCAAGAGATAAAGGAAGCAATCCTAAACAGGGCTACCCAGAATCCTAATCAGGTCTATTTAATGGGACTTACTCCCAGGAAAGTATTATAAGGATCGCACTGTAAAGGAAGCAACAAAATAAAACACAGTCATTTAAAAATGGTGTTAGCCTTTTTTGGTGGGGGAAGGGATAATCCATGGGACTTGGCAACACCCTTAATGTGAAGGCAGTCTGTCCTCCTGCTCTGATTCTGGGAGCTCTTCCTCCAGGTATACTTTGCCTGTAATAATGGCAGGCAGTTTGTATATTCATAGTGCCTACCCATTTAGTGATATCAGACACTTTCAGCAGTATTTCCGTGTTTCTACTAGACAGATATTTTCTGATACTTTTATTAATGCTCTTTTGTTATTTTTATGGACAGAAGTTTTTTGCCTGATGACTTCATGATTTATACATATAAGAAAGGGGGGTTTGTGTATCCTGTTTCCCCACGTATTCAGGTAAGCTTTATGGTGTTTTGCAGCTTGTTGATTTAGTTCCAGAGATGGTTACAAATGCTATTTTGGAGGTACAGATTAAACTTGTGGGGCATGAGGGTGTTTTTTGTTTTTAACAAACCTTGTTTGTAAGGCTGGTTAAAAAGAAGCTCAGCTGGAGAAGTGTGCAAGGTGCACTGCTTAAAAAGTAATTTTGTAAAACTGTCTTTAGAGTGATTGCTTCTATCAAGGATATATCCAAGGGTTCCCCCGCTCTCTTGCAATGTTCAGCATCTGTTCTGGCCTCAGGTAAGAGTACAACAGCTTTGGCTATCAGCTCAGTCTTGTGTCTCTGATAAGCCAGGCTCCTGATGTTTCAGATAAATGCATTGGAAGCCTCTCCCCTTTCCATATTATCCTAAACAGAAGTTTCAGGCTAGCCTTTTCTGGGGTAATTTTCTTTGGGAAGAGATAAGTGTGCATTTCACACCAGTTGAGGGCCAAATGGCATTCCGAACATGGAATTCACTGCCACAGGAGGTGATGGTGGCTACAAGCATGGACAGCTTCAAGAGGGAATTAGATAAGCACAAGGGTGGACCCACAAGAAAATTGCAGGGAGGAGGCATTCCCCCACCTTTGCTTCCTTCCCTCACCCCCTCCCGCTTTCTTTCTCCCCCCAAGCCAATCCCTCCATTTTCTTTACAACCCTCCACCAAGTCGATCTCTCCCCCCCACAAGCCATCTCCCTACTTCCCCCCCCAAGCCAATCACCCCCTTCTTTCTCCCCTCCTTTCCCCCTAACTTTGAGCCTGGCAGCAGTGCCTGGGAGGCAGAGCCAGTGCAGGCTCAGCCATAAAGCCACCTGCCGCTTTCCGTCCCTCTTTGTTCCTGGCTTCCCAAAAGCGGAAAAGCCTGCGAAGGCCTCGTCGCTAGGAAAGCCGTTGCTAAGGGCAGTCACGTGCTCAGACCTTTCCAAGGACAGAGAGCGAGGGGGAGAGAAAGCTCCTTGTCATTGGTAAGTCCTTTCTCTGCGCATGAGCAGAAAAAGCTGTTGTACCTTTGGGGGGATTTCAATATCCCCAGTATCCTTTTTTAAAGTTTTTAAATTTTTCTGCACAGCTGGGGGGTGCCCCAAATGTACAGGATAATCTCTTTTCCCTCCATGTGCCCCTGATCTGCGGAAATAAGTATCCACACGCAGGGGGCCATGTTGGGAATTAGATATACAAGAAAGAA